AAATGCTCTTTGAAACAGTCTGGGGAATCCAAGGCAAGAAAAAGAGTTGGAGATGAGGCAGAGAATAATTTGTAAGGTGACCCAAAGCTGAGACATGAAAGAGGCGTCTCAAGAAGTAGAATGGGTGTGATGATAAGAGGAACTGAACAGGTCACATGACAGAAAAAAAAAGGAGAGGAAGCCGGTTTGACTGCATCTTACCCAAGGTGTTTCTGCACAATTTAGCCATACCCACAGGGAAGAACTGCTGATATGGTCAGAGCCACCAGTGAAGCTGGGCTGCACCATTTAGAGCAGGAAGAGCCTCTACTTTACATAGAGCAGGGCAGCGCCACAGAATCCAGTGTAACCACATCCTGTAGTTTGACTGCAGACACATCAGACAAGGCACATTTTTTTCAAAATCCATCTGCACCCAGTCAAGCTGGAGAAGTATGCATTCATTTCACTCAGTATGCCAGCTTTCACTGCATTCATTCAATTTATCCAACTCTGTTCAGACTGTCAAAATCCCATACTCGCAGCCCCCCAGAGGTGATGGTTTCACCAGGATCCATGTTGCATGTAACAAAAGGGAAGATGGGCACCAACCATCACACGCTTTTGGTATCTCTTGTGTTATTTTCCACTGGCAGTGGAAAGCTGCCTTGGAAAGCTTGTGGGACACTGCACTGACTGTGGTGGCATCCTTGTGCTTCACAGTCTGGCTACCGCTGCCTCCAAGTTAATAATTTTGCTCATTTTCTGTGTTTCCTCACTCTACAGTCTGCTCCCAGTTGAACCAACAGGAAATAAATGTTATTTGTGACGTGCTCTATCTTCCTGCCACATCCAGCATGTCAGATGGTAGGATTTTCTGCTGACAAGCTGTCTATGCTACAGAATGCAGAATTTCCGGTTTGAGAAAAACAATCTATTTCTCGATTTTACTGCTGTTAGCTGTGGTTTTGTGATTTAACACAGGCCATTCTTTTAACCTTTGTTCTTCTGTTTCTTCTGGTGCTTACACACAGCCACTTCCATTCATACTTTGCTCATACCAATCAATATTTCAGTTTCTGAAATAGCTGAAAGTCTGAAAGCTGATTTTACTTACTATAGGGTCAGCTGAATACCAGAGTCAGGGCAAACAAGGAAATAGTACAGCTGCTTAGCAAAAGGTTATGGCAATCCAGCCACACTAGTTTCTAACTTTAAGCAAAGGCCTTGATAATTAAGGCTGGAATCACTATGAAAATAACACCATTTTGGACTCCATGCAGTGATCCCTTTTGGCTCACCCAGTTGTGTTGTTTCACATAAACCGGTTCTGTTTAAAGTTGCTAAGGAAGTCAAGTATTTAGGCATTTGTATTTGCAAAACATAGTAACAAACAGGATAAATCCAGCAATGTTTCTTTGTTTGCTTGTACTCAGGCCTGACCCAAAACTCTTCTTGAATGTATTTAAGTGGAGAGTAGAACATGTTTGCCAAGAGTACATTTGTAGCTTCTTTCTGCTTGCAGTACTTTACTTTATTGTTGCATACTGTTAATACTGTTCCAACAAAGTACACAGCAAAGCTCCTCAGGCCAGTAGTTCAGATTTGTGATTGGATTAATGTAGAGATGTATGTTTTCACTGGAACTGGCTGAAAAAACAAACAAACAAATAAACAAATACAAGCAAATAAACAAATAAACGAATTACAGTACAGTTTACCTGATTCATTATTATTATCTACTGTTTAAAGCTGGCAATATATTGCTGACTCAATGTTTGAATCATTTTCTACCTTATCAGGCAGTCCTGAAACTACCTCGAGTATGGATCTGAGTTTTATTATCCTTGATGATCTGTTGACAACCTGAGAATGCCAATATCCACACCTAGAGCATAAACCAACCCAGAACTATCAATTTACTTCTCTAAAGCTATGACGTGGCAAACTCCTCCCTCTACTTCTCCTTTTCTATTGCTTTTTAAAAATAATTTCATTGGTTCGATTATCATAGGTAGGGGACAGATAGGGGGAAATACTCCCAAAAAAAGGTTCTTATATAGCCTTCAACAACAACTAAAAAAGCATACCACAAGCAGTACCACCTTGGCCTTACTTCTGGAGGTGGTTCTCTCTTTACGACCTGAAGCGTGACTGTGACTTAGTAGTTTCACATGCCTTTCAAATCAGGCATTAGCAACAGGCAACACAAGCCACTCATTTTATTTTCAAGATTAACTTCCTCATCCAGAGGGAGCAGTTGATACTGTCCCTGGAATTTGCATTGCCAAAGGGTATAAAAGTTCATCTCAAATGGATTTAATCCTCAACTCTCTTTCGAGTATTTGCTGAGCTTCTTCCCCATCCCACAAACCCTCCCCAGCCTTATTTCAACACTGAGAAGAACCTGGCACTTCTGCTTCTGTTGTGGTTTAACCATAGCCAACAGCCACTCACTCACTCCCCACCAGTGGGACTGGAGAGAGAATCAGAAGGGTAAAAGCTGCAAAACTCCTGGGTTGAGATTGTCATGAATGATGTTCTATTTGTCCAATTTATTAGACAACAAGATTAAATGTAGCAGCAATTTTTTTTAATAGCAACAATAGTATATAAATGAATATAATTAAAGTATATTAGATACATATATTTGAGTATATACAAAATTTGGCAGTGAGTAATTTAGTGTGATAAATGTGATTCATGCTAATTAAATTACCTATATTAGCAAAATTGTACTTAAATCCACAGAAAATAATAGTTACAGAGTGGGGGGAGATGGGTAAGACAGGGCAGAGGAAATTCTCCAAATGTTAGAAGGGACTTGAAGAAAGATGTTGGTAGGGAGTAGTAGAAGGACGTAGGTCTGATAAGAAGCATCTAGAAATAAAAAGTTTTGACCTTGAAATGGGCCAAATTGGGATGATTCCAAGCATGGAACTTGAATAAGGTTTTATCGTGGGAACATAGGCTTAGCTACATCACCCCAAGCTTAGTGCGCTTGCACTACCTGCGAGGTTACACAGTGGATACTGATGAAGACAGAGAGCCTTCATCGGAAATAAGACCCTCAAAAGGATGAGAGACCCCTAACTATTAGTAGAGCATGCTCAGTACAACATAGTGATGTAGATTTTAGGAACAGAAACTAGGAGTTTTCTAGAAAATTCTGTATTAATATGTATTAGCATACAGTATATAAGTGGGATTGTTAGCCTCGAGGCTTTGGTACGTGAGGAAGGGCAAGCCCCTCCCCGTACCCCCAACTGGTTTTGTTTATGCTTAATAAGAACCTCATTTATACTAAATGTTATTAATAAGACCCCAAGATGAAATTTAGTAGCAAATTTTAATAGTAACAATTATATAAATGAATACAATCAAAGTATTGGATACATATACTTTAGGATATATAAAATTTGGGAGTAAGTAATTTAATATAATTGAGGTTCGTATAAAGCATAAGCAAAACCGACTGGGGGTATGAGGAGGGGCTCACCCTTCCTCACGTACCCAACAATCAAGGCCAAAAATCCCACTTATATACCGTATGCTAATACATATTAATACAGAATTTTCTGGAAAACTCCTCCTAGTTTCTATGTCTAAAATCTATGTCACTATGTTGTACTGAGCATGCTCTACTAATAGTTAGGGGTCTCTCATCCTTTTGAGGGTCTTATTTCCGATGAAGGCTCTCTGTCTTCATCAGTATCCACTGTGTAACCTCGCAGGTAGTGCAAGCGCACTAAGCTTGGGGTGATGTAGCTAAGTTTATGTTCCCACGATAAAACCTTATTCAAGTTCCATGCTTGGAATCATCCCAATTTGGCCCATTTCAAGGTCAAAACTTTTTATTTCTAGATGCTTCTTATCAGACCTACATTCTTCTACTACTCCCACCTAACATCTGGAGGATTCCATCTGCTTTGTCTCACCATTTCCTTTTTTGCTTTGAAACTATTATTTTCTACTGATATGAGTACAATTTTGCTAATATAGTTACAATTTAGTTAGCACGAATCACATTTATCACAAGATAAAGCCAGTGTAGTAGGGAAAGCAAAGGCTGCACACACAAGCAAAGTAAATCAAGGAATTGTCTGCTTCCCAAGGGCAGGCAAGTGTTCAGCCATCTCCGGGACGGCACGGCCCCATCACGGGTCACCGTGTCTTGAGAAGACAAAAGGACAAATGCAGAAACTCCAAATGTTCCCGACTTCCTCCTCTCGCCCCTCTTCCTCGCAGATTCCCTCGCACTCCAGCCCCCTCTCCAGCCTGCCACTATAAGGAGTAGAAAAGAGCTTGGCTCTGTGCAAGCACTGCTCGGCAATAGTGAAAACATCTCTGTTATCATTCCTGTGTTCAGGACAAATCCTAAACACAGCCTCACAGCAACCACTTGAAGAAAATGAACCCTACCCCAGCCAAAACCAGCACAGCTTCACAGCCCTGCCAGGACCCTGCTGCAACCAGCGCTGACCAGCAGCTCACTTAAAGTCGGGGAGAAAGAAAAGTAATGGCGTTGATACATAAATACTAGAGTTATTTGTGTATGTTGTGTGTTTTATTCTGCATTTTATGCTTATGCTCTGCACTAGATTCGTGTTAGTGTAGAGAGAGAGCAAAAGCTAGCAAGGTGAGGGAATGTGACTGCCTCATCTTGGAAGTGTTCATGCCGGGTTGGATGGAGCAACCTGGTCTAGTGGAAGGACACTGCCCAACGTAGGGGCGGAACGAGATGATCTTTAAGCCCAAATCAAACTACTCCGTGATTCCGTGATAATAACAAGGAAACCTCACAGTCCTTACTTCTTGCACTATTTACTTCTCGTGTGACGTTCAGCCGAGAAGGCCTCCAGGCTGGGCAGATCCCTGCCCCCAGCGCGACCCGAGCCGCGGGCCCCTCCCGTGCCTTCGGTTTCGATTCCCGTGCGGTGCGGCCGGGAGGCGGTGACGAGTGCCCCGCCCGCTCCTGCTCCTCTTCCCGCTCCCGCCCCACTCCTGCCACAGTCCCGCGGGCGGTCCCGTCCCGGCTCGAGGGGCAGCATGTGCGATCCGGCCGTGTGCAGTTTCCTTACCCAGACTCTGTGCGCCCATGGCGGGCGGCTGGGGCTGCGGGAGCTGCAGGAGAACGTCGGGCTGTCGGCGCTGCAGCTGGAGAACACTCTGTCGGCAGCGGGCCCCCGGCGGTTCCTGAAGGTGGGGAGCGGCCCAGTGGTCTTGGCCGTGACGGACGTGCGGGTCTGTGTCCGCAAGTTCTGCAATGGCTGCGAGCGGCTGCACCTCTGCAAGCTGCACCTCATGGGCAGGTGCCACCAGGGGACCAGGTGAGCGCCGGGGCGCGGGCAGCCCGTGGGACCGGCCGGGGGTACTCCTCAGTCCCCTCACCCCAAACCCCCTCACGCCTCTCAGTCCTCTCACCCCCAAAACCCCTCACAACTCCCCATAACCTCTCACACCCCCCAAACACCTTCACATCCCTCCCAAACTCCCCTACACCCCTCAAACTTCCTTACGCACCCCCCAGTCTCCTCACAAACCCCCACCCTTCACACACCCCAACCCCCTCAAAGGCCCCATCTCCACCCCTCACACCCCCAAACTCCCCCACAGCCCCCTCGCATCCCAAGCCCCTCCGGGGGTGCCGCTGGTACCCCGGGAGGAGCGGGCGGTTATCCCGTGGGATCAGCCGCGGGGGATCCTTGCTCCGGAAGGACTCGTGTCGTGCCCCCGCTGAGTCCGTAGAAGCCGACGAAGTTTACGGTTTTGGGTTCTTTGGTTGGTTTTTTGGGGGCTTGCTTTTTTGTTTGTTTGTTTGTTTGTTTGTTTGTTTGTTTAAATCTACTCATCTCTGCACCCGGCGCTCAGTCCCCTTGGCATTTGGGTGAAATAGTTTACACCTATTTCTCAGAAGGAAAAAGCAAAGTGCTGCCATGCCCTCTGGTTTCGCTCTAGAGAGTTACGAAAGTTGAGTTTCGCTGTAGGTCACTGCTTGGCTTATGGCCCTTTCTGTGAGAGGCACTGTTTGATCACTCGGGTGCAACAGTCCCAATTTCTGTAATACGGAGGACTCGTGGGATGGGCAGGCCTGGCAGCCTCTCAAGTCATAGGTGGCCAACGGTGGTGCCTAGTTTAAAAAAAATAAAGGAAACCAAAGGCAAATGCAGAAGAGCAGCTCAGCTTTGCCGCTACAATTACTGATGGAAGAACTTTGTAATTTAAGCCGCCAAGCCCCAGGTCTGGTGCTGATGCAGCCTTAGGAATGCATGATCCTACTGGATCCTTCGTCTTCTGCCCCAACAAAATGGATCACTGTGCACTAAGATCTGGATAGCATGCAGGGGAAAAGCCATGTCTCTCTGATCATTAGGATGATAAGATGTTAATATTTTTTGTTACGTTACAGACAATACAGTAAGCTCCCGTGGAGTTCACTGTTGAAATGCCTTGACGTGTGCAGACACTCATGATGGATGATTTTGTGTGAATTAAAGTTTGCAATGAGGGGATTCCCTTCATAATGATAAACCATTCTGTCCTCTCAATAACACTGAGTGTCTAAAATCTCTTTGGTATGCGTTAAAAATTAGTAAAGCAAAGAGCATACCTTTTATGGGAGGGAGCTGGATTAAAATGAGAGGGCAGAAATTCTGCTAGGTGGACTACATAGATCGAGAGAGAGACTGTTTTTTAACTGATAAGGTAAAATCTAGCCTTGCTTCCTGGTCTTGCATTCTTTTTGTTTTAGAATCCTTGGAAAGAAAAATGTCTGGGGAAGTTACTTGGCTCTTCCTGTTTAGTGGAATAATTATTTTAGGCCAGTTAATCCTGTCTTTAACTAATGTCTGGCAAGTGGCTTTTCACTGTTACTTTTTTCCTGAATGTCTTATTAGACTCAACTGTGTGGTTATCACTGTATTTGTAGAATGTTTCAACCTTTGACTTGGAAATACAGAAACAGGTAATCTAGATCACTCTGTGACTGTTGATGGACTCTCAAATTGACTATAGAGGAACATTGGTGATGGCTCCCACCTCAGATGCTCTGTAGTTTATCTACCTTCGTAGCCATTAATTGAGTGCCTACAGCATCTAATATCCTTGGAAGGTTGTTTCTTGGGACCAAAGTCAGCACACGTCTGCCTTTCCTGTTTACTTGCTTCCAAAGAATGTGTCCAACAGGTAGCAGGGTCAGGGGAGAAATACCTGAACAAGGGTCTGTACCGAAGGATTGGATCAGACACACTTCGAGTTAAAAGTGTCACGAGGAGAGCTTCAGGAGTAAACTAGAGGCTGAAAGAGTACAGGGATATACTTGAATCTGGTAAATTAACAGGTGCTATTACTGGTTAAGTATGTCTAGTCTTAAGGCTGTATCAGATCTTGTGTTGAAGAGCAGGACATGATGAAGCTGTATTTTACTGCATTGAATTAATACACAGGTTATGTGTCTCCTCTCTGTTACTGATTTGCAGTACCATTTCAAATAGATGTAAAAAATTTGCAGTCTCACTCTAATTCATACTCATCAGACTTTTGGCTTTGTAAGTGGCCATACTGACTTCATTATTGTAGCCTAATTGCTTCCTTAATCAAAACTTGTAAGTTAAACTTTCTTACCTGTTTTTTTATTTAGTTTTTTTTTAAATAAAACTTCACAGCCACTGAAGATAACAGAATGTTGTTTTCAGCTTCACTGTTGCTTTTATTTTGTCCACACTCTTGCAAGTTTCTTTACTTAACATCCCCAGGACAACAACCTTTTATGTTCACAAAAAGAAGGCTGTTGCAACTTCCGGCATTGTTGGTGTACCCCTTTAAAATTAGCTTTCCCTCCAGCTGTTTAGGTCATATGACTTGACTTGGACCTTCTTGGAGGCAAAGAATGCGTGGGGTCTGGCTGCATTGAAGTTTAAAATGAGGAGGATAGGGTCACTGCACTTCATAGAGGAGTTCTGCTGGTTGGGCCATTCTCTGGCTAATTACAGACACCATCTGAATGTTCAGAGGGACCCTCACCAAGCCACATTTTTCTCGTGGCTTTTCCCAAGTTGCACATTATCTGAGGTTCTTCTTTAAATCAACTTGACTAAAGGAGTAAACATTGATATTTCTGTGTCTTTTCTTGCAGCTCTTGTAAGTACTCGCATGACATCATGAATGCGGAGAACAAAAAAGTTCTAAAAAAACATGATTTGTCTAGCCTCAGTGAGAATGAGCTGCAAGTCCTGCTTCTCCAAAACGATCCATTCTTCCTCCCTGATGTAAGTTGTACTGATGTCTTAAGAGAAAGTTTTTGTTCATTAGGAATGGGAGAGGGCAAGAGAGAATGTGGAGTTCTGATCTTAATGTCCAGCTGTTAAGATATGAAAGAGGATTAGTCAGAATGAAGGAGGAATGGGAATGGCAGTGTGAAACAACATAAAGCCAGATCTGTGAAAGGGCTGTGTACTTAAATAATAAAAAAAGCCACCATTACAGCAGTAAAACTGTTTAATAAATACCCAGAGACATGCATCTGGAGAAGGCTCTGTCATCTGTCATGTGTCAGGAGCAGACCTGCCCTCTGATAACAGGAGGTGGGCAGCAAGGCTACAGCCTGTCCTGTGTGCCATTTCTGTTATCCCAACAGGACGGCCATAAAGCTGCTCAAAAAAGTAAACAAAAATGTCAGCAACTTCACCAGAGGTTTACAAAGGCTGAGATAAGCAAGAGAGAGTAGAAAGATCACAATGTACATGCTTTCAGGGTAAAAGGTACAACCAAAACCCAGTTTGTTGCTTTTTCTCTGTGAGATGAAGACTAAGTGAGTGCCCCTTTCCTTTTCCAGTCCATGTTGGCCTGCACAGCCTGCACACATTTGGGTGCTTGAGGGTATGAGAGATGAGAAAAATATGTGAGAAAATGACCAAATGACTGCAGTCAGTTTTGTGTCAAATCAGGCTCTTCCAAAGTGCATGGAGTTTTTGTACTCTGACTTTCTACAAATAAACCTTTTGTACAAATAAACTTGGCATCATTTTGTATGCCACTCATTGATTTTGTTAAATTTGGTTGAACATTCCATTCTGATTCAGCATGTAGGGCAATAAGCATAAGGACTGCCTTCCAGGTATGGCTGTTTCAAAGTCAGTCATACCCAGTTCTGGCTATAGCTGCTTCTGGTTAAGAAATTACCAAAGTACTGCCCATGTCTTTTGCAGGTTATAATCTGCACAGATTTGTTGACACAACAGTTCTATTGTTTGTTCTTTGCTATGAAAGTGCTAGACTTCGGCAAAAGAGAATTTTTTTTGTTGTGCAGTGTTGTTGTTTTAAAGTATGTTTTACTGGCAGACTGAAGGAGCATGGTGGTAAGGAAGGAGAATTATTAATTGTTCCCAGTAATGAGCAAATAGTAACAAGTATTTTGGTTGGCATTATCCTTTAGTGCTTACTAGAAATCTGTTCAGCCCTCACCCCTGGCAGGCATTTTTAATTACCTGTCATTGACCCCTTCAACTCCTATCATGCAGTAAAATAGCAAAACCAAGAGAAAACAGTGATCAGTGCACGCCATTCATAGTCCTGAGAGCTTGGAGGTCGGATATAAAAGCCAATTTGGCTGTTTCCTGCTTAGAAATGCTGACTGGTTGTGTGTGTGAAGATATGGCATGTAGGAAGCTCTCAAACAAGAGGACATTTTGGTATTCTGTGACTTGAACTGAGGTTCAGAGTAAGAAAACACAACAGCACCACAATATCGGGTTTTCACACTTTCCCTCACTTTCTCTCTGATTTTCCTGTTTTGTTTGTTTTGCTTGGTTTTTTTGTTTGTTTGTTTGTTTGTTTGTTTGTTTGTTTTTGGCAGATGCAAGGGGACAGTGTGCTTTCTTGATGTAGCTAATAGTGGATTGCTATTGTTGTGGTTTAAGCCCAGATAAGTACCATGCAGCCACTTTTTCTCTCCCACCCTGGTGGGATGGGGAGGAAAATTGGAAAAGAGGTAAAACTTGTGGGTTGAGATAAGGATACTAAAAAAATTGAAATAGAATAAAATATATTAATAATAACTGTAAGAGGAGGAGAGAGAGATACTAATAAAGCCCAAGAGAAACAAGTACTTCCAAGTACAGTTGCTCCCACCCGCTGACTGATTCCCAACCCATCATCCCTGAGCAGTGTTTGGTGGCTCCTGGGAAGAGGGATTTGGAGGGGACCTGTGAGAGTCCCAGTGTGATACTGGGGCTCTCTGCCAGACAGCTGTGTGTCCTCCTCAGACAAGCTTTCTTGTTACAGGCTGCTCAGGGAGCAAAACTTACTGTGGTGCTTTGTGGTCAGTAGGAAGGAATTTTAGGTCTGTGATTTGTTCCCTGGTCTAATTCTCTGTGTACCTCATTTTTAATGAATAGAGGAATAAAGAAGTGCATTGCTTTATCCATATGTACTCTAATCTCAAAGCACTCTTCTTACCATTTTATTAGCTCAAATCTTCAATGCAGGATAAGCTTTACAAATAGGAAGTGCAAATTCAGTTTCAGCTCCATGAAATGATAACTCATTTGACACAGTGTACATGTTTTTATTGAGATATTTGTTCTCTGTTGTTCATTATGCTGTAGGAGTTTTTAAAATAGAATAACTGTAAACCAGTCTGGTTTTATGCACCTGTCTTGCATCCATTTTTGGCACTCCTAAGATTGTTTGGTTTGCTTTTTTTGGAAACAAAACATGTACACTTTCAAAACTGAAAATGCATGAGTCAACTTAAAATACCTGATCCTCTGTTGAAGAAATGTGTCTAGATTTAAGAAGTTGCAGTAAACACATGCCTTTTAATCACCATTTTTCTGATGTTAAAGCTGCATGCCTGTAGGACAAAGAAGAATTCTAAGGTGCTTTTCCATTTCCTGTTGTATCTTCCCCACTTTTAGACCTGCCAGTTTTACAACACAAAAGGTAGTCACTGTATGCAGCAAAACAACTGCAACAAGCTTCATGTTTGTCGACACTTTCTCAAGGGGAGTTGTAAATTTCCTCAATGCATAATGTCCCATAACCTCTTGGATGGCCATGCAATGAGAGTGTTGGAAACTGGAGGCATTGATGAGAAGATAGCTTCAAACTTCCAGGCCATATATGATTTCAAGCATGCCGAATTCAACAAGGAACAGAAGAAGGTGTATGGTAAGTTGCAAGAAATAGTGGTCTTAAACATGATTTTGAGTTTGATGGAGGTAGAAACTGTTCTTGCCTTACCTCCCAGCTAAACCCCATCATCCTTTCTGTGCTTTCAGTACACAACTACAGACCAAGAAGTGATTATAGGAAAATACCAGCAATTCCAAGGATTAAAGAAGTGAAGACAACTTTGGAAACAGTGCAGTGCATGCTGGATGTGCCGCCTTCAGAAGGTAAATACCTAGCTAATAGTACCAACCGTTCCCTTGTGGAATCGGCCTTTGTATTTCTCCTCTTGCGATATATACACATTTTTTCCCTCTCTGCTATTATGCGCTTGCAAGAATGAAGTAAGTAATGGCACAATCATGTGGGAGAGAGAACTCCCTAAAGTACTGCATTCAAAACAGCAATTGAGTGGCTGGCAGTAACTGTGGCTAGCTAGGGTTTGTAACTAATTGCACTTTTGTTGTATCAACAGTGAAGTGCCAGTGGAAAATTACATATGTGATGGACATAATTCTCCACAGATATTGAGATATTGCCAGGTAGCTGAGCTTCTGGCCCAGCAGTGCTGTTCATTCAGTCTTCTCATGCAGGTCCCAGTAGCACCGTACCTGCTCAGAGCCAAGACCAGTTGCCAACAGGAGCAGGAGATAAAGATAAAGGTATGGATTGTTTCTTACCCTCCAGTCTTGAGACTGGTGGTTTTCACTGGGACTTAATTTCATACATCCTGACAGCTCCCAGTGGGAGCTGAGTGCAGCTTATGTGCTTGCCTTACTGTGTGCTGAAATCCATTGTACCAGATGGCCAGCAGAGTGGTGTTGGAGATTCTGCCCAAGCATTGTGCAGCTCTCTGTACTGTCCTGGACATGTTTTTCCCTTCCTAGGAAGGTGACAGAATTGTTTCTGTGCATGCAGTATCTTTCTGTCGGTAGGCAATTAATACAGCTTTGTCAGTAGAGGTGTTGTCTCGATACATGTTCCAGTGAGTGAATAGCAACTTGTAAATCTCTTGTTCTTCTGGGCAGAAGGACCTTGGCTTTAAAGCTTGTCAGAGTTCAATACTCTCTGAACAGGTTCTTTTAGATAGTCTATACATGGACGGTGTAACGTTTCATATTAAATTACATGTGATGGACATCATTCTCCACAGAGATTGAGATACTGCCAGGTAGCTGAGCTTCTGGCCCAGCAGTGCTGTTCATTCAGTCTTCTCATGCAGGTCCCAGTAGCACCGTACCTGCTCAGAGCCAAGACCAGTTGCCAACAGGAGCAGGAGATAAAGATAAAGGTATGGATTGTTTCTTACCCTCCAGTCTTGAGATGAGCTTATCTAAAGGGAGTTGATGTTACACAGGTGTTGTGATTTCTCGGTTTGAAAGACACGTCTGCTAGGGAAGGCAGGACCCTTCCTTAGATTGGAGAATGTAAACCCTCTGAATTATTCTAATTTTGAAATCAAGGGGCTCTCAGGCAAAGATATGAGGATAGGAATAACAGTTCTTTACTAGTATGTATAACAAGGCAAAGAAAATAAGAACAGCTATGGAATTAATAACAAACAGAACCAAGGACCCCTGACAGCTGCCTCGGTTGAAACGGGAAAGGATGGAGGAGAGGCTTTGCTTAAAGCCCTGCGGCTGCCGATCCTGATGCCCCTGCAGGACTCTGAAGAGCACTGAGCTGGAACGGCAGGAATGAGCTAAATATCCTGGCTGGTGAACGAGATGTATCAGAGAACTTCATGGCTGTAGCTGGAACTGCCGGACGTCCCGGCAGGGCAGGGAGTGCGCGGCTACAGCGCAGAGAAACCCAGAGCTGAACGAGAGGCAGGGGTGGGGCAGGCAGGGCCTGGCTCCGAGCAGGGAAGGGAGAGGTGGGCTCAGGATTCCCGGGAACACAAGCAGATGGTGATAGGTCCCTCCTTTAGTGAGGTAGGTGATAATAAGGTCCCGGGTTAGTGGCTGGTCTCACGAGCAGAGGCTCATCCCACAGAAGAGGAACCTCTGGGCTGGGTTATGGCGAATTCCTTTTCCCAAGCAGCAGCAACTCTTGAGTGTCTTCTGAAGCAGCAGAGCAAGAGAGTTAGCAACTGTCCCCCGCCCTCCTTTTACCTGGGCCCAGCCAACCCTTTGTTTTCTCTAGTACCCATAAGTACCAGCAGTCAGCATTTCCCAGCAATTTTCATGGGAAAAATTCTATAGGTAAGAAGGAACAAAAGAAACAGAAGGTGTGAGCATCACATAGCCACTTGCTCACTTCCCCCTGATCCCCAGAGGGAAGGAAAAAAGAAATAATAAAGGCAAAAAATCTTGAGGGTCCAGGGGGAGGGAAGAATCCCCCAAATAATAAGTGAAAGAGGAAAACCAAGCAAAAGAAATGATACAAAGGCAGTCACTGACCACATCCTACATCCAGGCTGATGCCTAGCCAGTTTCCTAGCAAAAGGTAGCTAACCCTCCTAAAACTCCCTCCTTCTTCTCCCTTTTATTACTGAGCTTTATGCTACGTAATATGGAATGTTTGGTGACTTCAGGTCCTTTGCCCACTTGTGTCCCCTCCCAAGCTATTATGCACCCCTGATTCTATCCACTCTGGAGGCAGGGCGAAAAACTAAGGCCTTGATGTGTATCACTGTTGAGCAGAAGCTGAGGCATGAGTGTGTTAACAGCATTGTTTTGGTCAAAAATCTAAACCAGCATCATATGGGTTGCTATGAAGAAAATTACATCTTATTCCAGCCATGTTCAGTACAGTGACATTTGTGATGTAGCAAAGTGATGCAAAGTCCACTGGGAACAAAATACAAATGCTGACTTATAAAACATAGCAATTACTGTGCACAGTTCAATCACAGTAATAATGGGATTCCCATGGCAGATCTGTATGATATACTCACTGTCTCAGTATATAGTCACTGGGTGTCCCCAGTCCCTGGGGAAATTAAAGCCAGCTCAAGCCTGTTGCTGTTTTCCTAATTCTTTGTTTGGTTGTTTAGGATTAGTACCTCTGCGTGGGTGGGGCTGAGCCCTGTGTTCACTCCTCCCATGCTGATCTGGTTGACTCAGAGAGAAACATCTCTACCCCCAGTCAGTCTGCTAGCTGACATTGCCATTTATGCACCCTCTTTTCCCCTTGGTGTGGAGACAAAATCAGCTTCTTTGCAAGAACCATGGACAGTCACATCCTGTGTTGTTCTGAGCTTTCTGACACTGCCCTTGCCCTTCCGCACTGAGACTTCTTCCAGTGTCAGGGTTTATTGTTCAGTCACAAAGCCCTGACTTCTGTGTTGGGCTGTATGGGAGATAGTCAGATCCTGAAACTGCTTGACTTTGCTACTGAAGTCAAATCCTTGTTATTTCTGGGATAAAGTACCAAATGCAGGATCTTTCTCTTAGAGCAAATATGGACTGCTGTGTTCTTTGCTGTAGGTAAAAAGGACAGTTCCTCTGATGAAACTTCAAAGGACAACAAAAAAGATAACTGTGATGAGATCTGTTTGTTTTATGTCTGGAAGTACTGCAAAAACAAGGGTAAGCTTTGTGAAAAGTAATGTTGTTGTTGAAGAGTTGTCTGCAGAGGCACTTCTGCTCAGTGGCTTGGGCTAGTGGTGACAACTCTGCCTCCTCAGTAGGTTCTTTTCTTTCCAAGTAATTAATAAACATTGTCAGAATTACAAACATAATCAGAGAAAAGCCAAATGGTATACTTAAATGCTTTCTCCTCTGGATATTCCAGCATGTTTCAGAGCTTTTGATAGGGAAGCACTTTGGGTATGTTTCTGTGGCAAAGCCCTTTAAGTGTAGTCCTTTCTGTAGCTAGAAGATCAAGTTATGAGTTGACTTTATGCTGTCATCATTGATTGCTCATAAATGTATGCCACTCTTTACTCCTGCTGTATCTATCCTACGTACATCAGATTATAGCCATATTCTCCCTCATCAAGTCCTTTAAAAAGTGATCTGAGGTGCTAAAACATCTTAAAAAAACCACAGTAGTTGTACCAGCTAAGCTAAAGATAAATCTAGTCCATTGTCTTTTCGGTAGTGTCCAGAACAGAGATGTGAGGGGAGAATATAAGTAATTGTATTTGGGAGCTGTCCATGAAGAATCATTTAACCCCCAGGTTTGGCTCTTCCTTTTTATATAAGGAGGTACCATGACATTGTGTTTCCCTGATCTTGTCCAGTCAGTTTTTAAAGGACTGCTATTCCTCTGACTTGGTCTTGACAAAAGACCCTGTTAACGTGAAATACCCTATATAATGCGAATGGTGTAGGTCAGGCTCAAAGCAGCCATTCTGTGACCACCAGGTAACTAAACTCAAGTAACTGTTGGAGTGGTAGTGTGCTTTATTTATCAGATTGGGCTAGAAAGTTGTAAGACATTTGGTCCATACTTGGATGTGGAATGTCAGAAGAAAACCTTTCAGACCTTGGGAACCACCTCATGATTTCTAAGGGACTAAGGAAAAGAAAACCAAATATATCAGTGTTTATGTGATATGTAGACTAGACTTTTTACAGCTGAGACACCTGGTTGTGTGACACATGACATGCACTTCCTATCTGGCACTGCTCTCCCAGCTGCCAATGTTGTGTCTCAGCAAAGAGAACGTTCTAGTGTCTTTCAAATATATTTGGCAGAGTGTGTAGATATATATGTATATATTGCTTGTCTTGGTAAGACTGCAGAAACACACTCCCCCTGTTTTCAGCATTTTGTCTTCATTGCTTATACCAAAGACCAGAAAAGAAAGCCTCAAGGTGTAAAAGATGCTGGTTCTATTTTGTTTTCTTTCTCGTCTTGCTCTCTGTGTTAATGATTGCAGAGTTCTTGACTATGTCTGATTTTGTTACAGATAAATGCAAGTCTGTTCATTACCATTTGCCATATAAATGGGAGGTACATGATGGGTTGTTCTGGAATGAACTTTCCATGATGGAGGAAATTGAAAAGGCCTATTGTGACCCAAAGAACAGCAGGTGTAGTAATGCTGGACTACTTGCTTGAAGTATTGTGATTGAGCCTGTGTAGGAAAACTTGTGTTTTCTTCCTAAAGATGTCTGACTTCTCAGCTTCTGGTTACGGAGCTTCTCAGAAGCTGGGAGGATGTAAAAATTAGAATTTTTCCTTTTAAAAAAGCAAAGTAAGAGTGATTGCATGAAAATCCCACTCCAGTTTTGTCTTCTAAAAATAACTATATCTTACATTTAAAACTCTGTACAAGGTAAAAAGCCAGTGAAATACAGTGTTTAAAATACTAGTATTTCAGACCATTAATCAGTTTTTTTACAGCAATGAAGTTGGGCCTTTAGACAACATTTCAGAGCTGATCCTTCTCTATGGCTATTTCTTTCCTACTACAGCTAGTATCTGTAATAACAATAATAGTAATCTATGATGTGATTAGAGACATTTTATGAAATGTCCTTTGTGTAGGCAGCCCATCTATTTTTTCTTCTTTTTTATTTCTATTTTAAGAGTGTGTTTTCCTTTTAACTCCTTTCTGAAAAGTCTCACTCAAAGCCACATGGATTCATAGGGCATCCCAAGTTTGGCTTCACAAAATGGTATTCTAGTTTTGGCCCATGCCTCTTAAGGCACTGGATGATTTTTATTTGCAGTTTTCTGGAGATCACAAGCAATATTCCCAAGAGGAGGCTGCCATCAAACTCTTCCTACTTGGGAGTTAACGTTTCAAGCCTCACAGGAATAAAAGACCAGGTGGCTCCAGTGATGAGTCCAGTTTGCAGAACTCACAGCTGTGATTGCATCCTTTGTAACCACAGAAAATAACAAAGTTGATAGGCTGCAGATGTTTGCTGGCAAATTCAGTCACACACTTTGCACATTCTGCTTTTGTACTAAGACTGTAACCACGCTTAGTTACCACAGAAGTTCCTTTTGCCACACTGTACTTGGAACCTGACATTGTCTGTAGAGCTGGCAGTGCCACATGTGACTGAGGTGCCATTTGATGTCTCACAGGCCAAAGTTCACTTCTGAAGCTTAGAAATGGTTTTCAGAGCTGCCATGTGCTGTGGGAAATAAACACTCCTATTTCAGATCTAATGAAGTTTGGTTACATTAAATTAAAGAAAATGGCACCAGCTTAAACTGGGGATTAGAGGATAAAATATGCACTGCTAACTATAATAAACCTGAATTTGTCCTTACAGCTTGCAAAGTAGGAACATTAATTTCCAGACAATGACCTGCTCTTCTTCTTTGGTTCGACGCCTCTCTACACCATCATCAGTCACAAAACCCACATTCCTACTGACCACACAGTGGATTTGGTACTGGAAGAATAACCAAGACAAGTGGATTGAATATGGAGAACAGGTGAGTTCACATCCTGTGCTTTGAGTCACTTCTGCAAGGGTATGTAGAGCTTCTTGGCATCATTCCCCCTTTTCTCAACAGGATTAATTAAGTGAACCCTTGTTCTTGAATTTTACAGTGTTGAGTAAGGCAGTGAAGCTACATCTGTTCATAACAGACATGATAAAAAGCTGACAGGCTGGAGGGAAGAGAGCTCCCTTTTGGAGTTGGCTGTAGCTCCTAGAGAGATTTAATATATAGACACTGTCCTTAAGATACATGGGAAATAATTGCCTGTTTTCTAAGCATTGCCTTGCTTCCTTGGACATGCAAGAGTTGCTCTGCTCTCTCAGGTCAAATGCAGTCTTTTTCCACATATGTCCAAGTCCTCTGATGAGAAAGTAATCTATCTGAAAAATGCAGGAAAATAAGTATGTATAGAATCTCACCTTCTCCCAAGGCAGATGAGTTTACCCCATATGGTTTACAGTATAGGAGCACAAATTGTAGAACACAAAGGTGATCCAGGGACTTGAAAAAGTACACAGGGAAAGGCGTTGGATAGAGCACAGTTTAAAAGACTCACCGTAACCTCAGGGAGTACTCAACCTCAAGGAGACACCCTGAGAACTGTCCCAGGTCCAGGAGAGATCACAGCTGTCTAGCTGCTCCTTAGCAGGGAAAGCTTGCAAGGAGCTCAGGCTTTCCTATCTGTGGAATGAAGTGGTTGGCTCATAGTTAAATCACAAGCAAAGTGAAAGGTAAGAGTGAGACACGTTACACCTACAATTTTTTTTTCCTTGGTAAATTTGTCTTGGAAGAACCACCTGCTATTCATGAATTAATCACATCATCAGTGTTTGGTTCCAAGCTCATATGCATCAGTGCTCACCATGTCACCCTGTTCCTTTGTGGGTTTTCAGATAGCAGGTTGGAAATAGAAAAGTTCTTGGCCTTTGCTTCCTTGGGAGCCTGAATCAAACTAACTCTAGTTTGGTAAGGAATCAAGTGTAGCCATCACACCTGGTGACAGCTCAGTCCCGTCCTCTCCCCTGCCGTGGGACTGGGCAGAGAGTGAGAAAACTCATGGTATGACATAAAGACTAAAAGATAAAGCAAAAGTGTGTGCACAAGCAAAGCAAAACAAACGATTCATTCCCCACTTCCCTTGGACAGGCAGGTGCTCAGCCATCCCAGGAAAGCTGGGCTCCATCACAGGCCACAGTGTCTTGGGAAAGCAAACAGCATCACTCCAAATATCACCTCCTTCCTCCTCCTCCTCCTCCTCCTCCTGCTTTGTATAATGGAGTGACACCTTAGGGCCCGGGATGTCCCTGTGGGCAGTTGGGGTCAGCTGTCCTGGATGTGTACCCTCCCAACACCTTGTGCCCCTCAGGCCTTCCCTGGTGGGGTTGGAGAAGAACAGAAAAGTCCCTGGCTCTGTGCATGCCCTGCTCAGTAGTAACTAAAATATCCCTGTGTTAGCGGCACTGTTCCAGCACAAATCCAAAACACTGACACTACCAGCTGCTGGGAGGAAATTTACCCCAGCCAGAACCAGCACAACTTGTTACAGGAATTTAAATGGAATATATGTGTATCCATCATTACTAATTATGTATTTGTGTTTATGTTGCAAATATTCAGTACTCATCCTCAGGCCACCATAGTTCTGGGTAGATTCCTCGTCACCTTGCTCTTGGCCCTTTCTTTCTCTCTATCCCAGCTGTTTAACCAGGGTTTAGTCCTGACTGTGATACTTATCATTCTGTTTCTTTTTTTTTTCCTTCTCCTCACAAAGGAAGAAGGGAACAGCGTGACCTCACCATCTTCTGCTATTATTGAGAATTTGTATCAAGCAGATCCATCTGCCATTGTACCTTTCCAGGCTGGCCAGCATCAATACGAGCTCAATTTTAAAGGTAGTCATTTTAAAGGTTCTCATCTACAACTGTGCAGTGCTTTATAGAGTCTTGCAAAGTCTCCCAGATTTAGAAGCTATAACTTCCTTTCCTGATACTACCAGTTTCACTTACTGGTAGTGAGGTAGTGATGGCCCAGAGGAAATTCCTTACAAAAGTAACCTTTCCCTATTACTCCTTGTCACTCTCCAGACTCACATCTGACCAGAAATATAAAGGTTCATGGTCTTCACATAAAGTCATAGTAAACCTTAAGTAAAGTAAGTTAACTCTGTGGATGCTAAAAAATACTAGTTAGGCATCTTTGTGCTGCTGTAGCAATGTCTAAAGAGCATGAGTGGTTTGAGGGAGCAAGCAAGATAGGCACAGGTTCAATCACAGAGTTACAGGGAAGATAGGAAGCTTATGCAGCCTTTGTGAAACTATTCCTCAGCAGGTAGAATTGACAGTGAATATGCAGTTTTCATTAAAGAACGACTGATGACAAGATGACTCCATCTTGTAGACTTATGATTCATGACCTTTTTTTTCCCTGCTGTTTTTTCTCCTCTAGAAATGACTCAGACAAACATTACTTTTAAGACTCAAAGACAGGTCTGCAGGCGACCAAAATTTGTCTCGTCTGAAGATG